TTTTTTTTTTTCCTTCTGTTGTTTTTTTTTGTGCGGCGGGGAGGGGGTTGCATTCCAGGCATTTACTCGTTGTGTAACGTCCACGCAAGCTGTGCGGGGTGCATGTCGTCGTCCACCGTTGAACTCGTCGCCAACCCCTCCCCCGATGTGAGCACGCACCGGTGGAGCGTCGCCGGCCTGAGCCGCCTCGACCGCAGGAACAAGATGAGCTCGCTGCCCTTCTGGGTGCCCAACCACGTGATGAGGAAGCACCAGTTCCGCCTCATATTCCTACGCGGTATGGTGACGAAAGGGCAGGCGGAGGGCGATGCCATTGGGCTCGTGGTCGAGCTTATTCCGCCGCCGGTCGGCGCCGAGGTGGAGTACCCTGGCGGCTGCGCCATCACCGCGGGGGTGGTGAACCGCGTGCACGAGGACCGCCTGCACGACGTCACGCAGACGGAGACCGTGACGCTGGAGCCTGCCTGCCTGCAGGTGGTCTTCCCGGAGCTCATCTCCCCCGCCATCCTGCAGAACCCCGAGTTCGCTGAGGGCGAGGAACCGCTGCTGCTGGTGGAGGTGACGATACAGACGGGCGTGAATGTCTCGGTAGAGCGGGTCAACAAGACGGTCTCGTCGGTGTGGGCGACGGTGTCAAGCTCGATCAGCCGCGCGGTGCAGAAGGCTTCGCAGCTCTACATCGAGAAACGCGAGGAGTTCACCACGCGCGAGGCGGAGGCGGCGGTGGCGGAGCCGCGGGCTGTGCCGTGGGAGACGGTGCCGGAGATCTGGGCAGACCGCGCCGAGGCGTGGCGCCACCTCATTGCGGAGCTCATCGTGGAGAACGAGGGGACGTTCCGCTACGGGCCCAGCAGGGGCTTGTCCAAGGATGAGCAGGCACTGCTGCTGCAGTGTGGGCTTAGCCAGCGGCTCATCATCAATGCGCACTCGCAATTCGACTACGACCGCGACGTGCACGAGGGGCTGCTGACGCTTCCGGCGCTGCGGCAGCAACGCTACCACTTGGTCCCCGGCAAGATGAAGGATGAGGTTTTCTGGGCCAACTACTTCTGGAAGGTGGCGGCGCTGAGCCTGTGTAAGAACGACGAGCAGGTGCGGCTTCTTCTCACTGTCCTGAACGCGCCCCCAGCGGTGAAGCCGCGCGATACGTCGTCCCTTCGCACCGTGTGCGAGGAGACCGTCCTTGAGCGTGTCCGGGATGCACAGGAGGCGGCAGACATGCTTATTGAGTACCTGACGGATGACACAGAAGACGGTGACATGTTGCTGGAGGCAGCGGGTGCGGCGTGCGAGGGTCACGCGAAGCAGTTGAAGGGTTACTTTGTGCGCGGAGACTTGTCGGAGGAGACACTGAAGATAATAGGCGTCGTGTTGAAGCGACTGCAGGAACGCCTCGCGGAGTACCACAAACGAAGGCCAAAAGCCCACGAGCCACTAGAGGAAGAAGAGTACGATAGTAGTCTCACAGACAGTGCGACGGCGGTGGTGGCGGCGTCCAGTGCGGTGCCAATCGAGGAGGATGCGTTGATTTCTGGTGACGCTCCCGAGTCATGTACGAAGGAAACAAAAGTTGAAGCCGCAGTTGCCGCTACTATGGGTACGGCTACCGCACAGGCTTCAGCAACAAATCAACAGGATCCGCAGCAGCAAGAGGAAGAAGAAGTGGAGGAAACTGTAAAGAAGGAGGGCTCTGAGACTCGTGAAACTTCGGCGGCCCCCGCGAAAGGCTCCGTCGATGCGGCGGATAGGAAACCGAGCTTCCCGTTGATGCCATGGGAAGAGGAAGATGAGGAAGAAGAAGAAGACAACAAGGAAGAAACGGGAAGTAACAACAAGTGAATGGTATGACGTTGGCCCGCCAAGCTTCTTTTCGATTGTTCCACGCCTCTTGTACTTCCAAGCAGCCATATACAATTTTTTTTTCTTTTTCCTTTTTTGCGTTTGTACTTGGTGGTTGTTTTGGCCCAGGAGGGGGGGGCGGAGGATGTTTGATGCGGGCGTGGCGTTGGCCCTCTCACTTCTTTATTTACTTTTATTTGCTTGGCGGGGGCGCCGCATGAGGAAGCGCCCGGTGGCGGCGGCGAGGCGGCGCCACAAAAACGAAGGGGGGAAAAAAGGAAAGAAGGAAAGAAAGAAGAAATCTGCAGGCAAACAACATTGTGTGGTGAAGGGCATGAAGCTCCGCCGCCGCTCCCCCTTCTTTAGCCACTACTTGGGGGGGGGAGGGGGGGGTTCTTGCCTTCGCTCTTCCTCGTTCGCTTCTGCTGATTACAGCTGCTCCCCCGCCCACGCTGTGCCCTCCGCCTCGCTGCTGCCGCTGGCGCCGACGACGGCCGCTGTCGCTTTCTCTCCTCGTACGCACACGTGCAATAAATGATACTGCAACACACAAACAGAAACTAGGAAGTAAAGGGAAGAACAAAAAGAAAAAGGAACGGGAATTGTGTGGGGCACGATATGCGGCGAATTGCAGCGCTGCGCTGGCGGCCGGCCGCAGCGTCCCTGCGTTACATCGCCACCGGCGGGCGTGTCACGAACGAGGACCGCCGCTGGTGGCTGCTGCACTTGGAGTGCGCGCCGGACGTGACGCCAGGCACATTTGTCGCATGGCTTGACTGCTGCGGCACGCACACAACGAAGAAGCTGATTGAGCGCAACGTGTGGACAATCGAGCAGGTGGCCGCGCTAGACTCAGACCAGGTAGATGAGCTCAAGTACAAGGAAGGATGCCTTAAGATGGACGTCGTGTGGGAGCACGCACGCACCGTCATCACGCCGCTGCGGCAGCGCGAGGTGACCGGCGGTGTAGAGTCGGAGCTGCAGAGTCGCATTCTCGAGCTCCGCAAGAAGCGCGAGCTTGAGCGGAAGCGGGAGGACCTGTTGAAGGAGCGGGCGAACATCAACGAGCAGCGCGATACGACACTGCGGAAGCTGCGTGAGGCCATCGCCGCAAAGAAGGCCGCTATGTTGCAAAAGAAGCAAGAGGCGGCGGCGGCAGCAGCAGCAGCGACGGGTGGTGGTGGTGGTGGTGATGGCGGAGGCAGCAGCAGCAGCGCCACTGAGACGTCCCTGTGAGATGTACGCACGCTCGTGTAGCCGTGTGGTTGTTTGTTGCTGACGTGGAGGCGAAGAGTGTGCTCTCCTCCGTTGCTGGGTGGTGCGTTTGGTGGGGGGATGAATTCCTCCACCGGTTTGTCTGGAGGGAGGCGGGGGTAGTGGCGAGAGAAGAGAGGAAAGGGGAGGGGACAAAGAAAAAAGGAGCAAAGATGGGGAAAAGGCAAAAAACTATGACACTGGAGGAGCGAGACATCGATTAAGTCCTCCGTAGCGCGCATCTGTTATTTACTTCACATGATCACTACAAAGAATGTGTTTCTTTGGTGGTGTTCCCTTCCGGACGCGTCCCTCATTGCGTGCTTGACATGTGGCGACTTGCTGGCCTTGGTGGAGGGGGGGCGCCGTCGTGCCTGTTGGCCAAACCAGCGGCGATGACGAGGATGGTGGAGAATTGGTGTCTGTCACATATCCAATTCTGTCCTTTCTTTTGTGTGTGTGTGTGAGGGTTTCGTCCTTATGTGTTGGTTTGTTTGTTTGATTGCTTTTTTTCTTCTTCTTCTTCTTTCTTCCTTTTCGTGTGGCGTTGCTACACACTCACCATATATATATATATATGTGTGTGTGGGGGGGGTTTCCTTTTTGTGCCCCTCTGCGCGTGTGACTGCAGTGACAGTAGAAAGGTGCATTTCCTCCTAACTGTGACGCTGCGTTCATTACACGTGCGTATTTACTGTAGAAGAACAGGGGGTGAAGAGGTGACACACAGAGAGACAGACGAGACGCAATACAGACGAGGCGAGGGTCATGTCATCATGGGAGCTGCAGCTTTTAGAGGTGCTTGAGCAGTTCTCCCTTGGGCACCTGCTGGGCCGCTTCATGGACGCTGGTATGTCGTGTGACGACTTCCTGTCGCTGCACCTTGACCAGTACAGCAGCTGCGGCGTCACAGACGACGAGGAGAAGATCAACCTCTACCAGGCGATACAGCACATGCGGCGTGAGATGCAGTATCATAAGCCGTCGCTCCGAGAGGACTCGCCGCTGCTGCTGTCGACAACGACAACAGCGGCCGACACGACAGCAGCAGCGGCAGCGGCGGCGGCGGCGGGAGGGGACGTGGAGGAGCTCTCCGATGGGAAGGATAGCAAGGAGCAGCACTACACAGCACGTGGTACGACGGTGCTGATGCAGTCCGCCGACAGCCGCGAGATTAAGCGGCGGAAGAGCCGCATCGTCGTGGCGGTGCGGAAGCGGCCGCTCAGTCTCACGGAGGCGCAGCGCGGCTTCGCAGACGTTATGACGACCAACGACTGTGACGAGCTCGTGCTGGCGGAGCCGCGGCAGAAAGTGGATCTCACCAAGTACACCCATACGCATCGCTTCTTCTTTGATGAAGTCTTCGCGGAGACAAGCAACAACGCCGATGTATACCGACGCACAGCAGCTGCGTTGATTGAGACTGTGTTCGAGGGTGGCTGTGCCACCTGCTTCGCGTATGGGCAGACGGGGAGCGGCAAGACGCACACCATGTTGGGTAGCGGCAACGAGCCCGGCATCTACGCCCTCGCCGCGGAGGACATGTTTGCACGCATTAATAGCGACAAGGACCTCTACGTGTCCTTCTACGAGATCTACAGTGGGAAGCTGTACGACCTGCTCAACGGCCGGCAGTCGCTGCGCTGCATGGAGGACGGCAAACAGAACGTCAACATCTGCGGCTTAACGGAGCACCGTCAGCGGGATGTGCGCAGCATCATGCAACTGATTGAGGACGGTAACCGCATCCGTAGCAGCGGCACGACCGGCGCGAACGACACGAGTTCGCGCTCTCACGCCATACTTGAGATCAAGGTGCGCACGCGTGAGGAGAAGAAGTTGATTGGCAAGTTCACCTTCATTGATCTTGCTGGAAGCGAGCGGGGTGCCGACACCATGGACTGCGACCGTCAGACGCGTATTGAGGGGGCGCAGATCAACAAGAGTCTGCTGGCGCTGAAGGAGTGCATCCGCTCGCTCGATCTTAACCGCCGTCATGTGCCTTTCCGTGGCTCCAAGCTGACGGAGGTGCTGCGCGACTCGTTTGTGGGCAACTGCCGCACCGTAATGATTGGCGCGGTGTCGCCGTCGAGCAACAACTGCGAGCATACGCTCAACACACTGCGCTACGCGGACCGGGTGAAGGAGCTCAAGAAGAGCCACGGCGAGCGGCGGCCCATTGAAGAGAATGAACAGTCAGAGTTCCTCTTCGAAAAGCGGCCGCCAATGCCGTCCGCGCGACCCTCCGTGTGCGGCCGCCTCTCCGCGCCGCCACTCAGTTCTGTGAACATCCAGAGCGCATTCGGCGACATCAACAAGACCAACAACAGCAGCAGCAGCAGCAGCAACCACAACAACAGCAATCAGAACAAGAAGTCAAATGGAAAGGGTGCGGCGGCAGCGGCGGGTGGGCGGCGTTCGGGCATGATCCGATCGAGCGGGGTGTTCACCACCAAGGCCCCGGAGTGCCCGAGCACCGAGAGCAGCAACTACAAGCGGTCCCGCGAGAACGACGAGCAGCGGGAGGAGCCGGCGCGCAAGAGCGTCGACCTCGACCTCGGTGTTCGCTACGACAAGGTAGTCGATGAAATTGTCAAGCTTGAGCACGCGTGTGTGCAGGCGCACCGCCAGTATCTTGACGAAGATATGAGTCTCATTAAGGAGGAGTTCTCGCAGATAATGGCAGTGGAAATGCCCAACTCTAACATTGAGACGTACGCAAACACTGTTCTCGGCCTTCTCTCAGGGAAGCTGAAGGCTATTCATCACTTTCAAGGACAGATGCTGCGTTTGCGAAGTCTGCTAGACGAAGAGGAGGCTCTTTCTCGCCATCTCGAAGAGGCTGGGAAGTAGAGCAGAGAGAGAGAGCGAGAGAGTGAGCGGCAAGCCAAAGAGAAAAGAGAAAAGAAGGCATGTAGCAACGAGGGGGAAAAAAAAGAAAGAAACAGACAGCTACCTTGTTAGAAGACATCTCCCACGCACATACACACTTAGATTGTTTGTTAGATGTACAAACTGTGTTTTTTTTTGTCGTTGTTGTTCTCCCCCACTTCTTACCCCCGTTTTGGGTGTGTGTGTTTTTCGTACTTTTTCTTGTGTTTTGAGAACCCCCCGTCTCTGCGACTGCGGCAGAAGTTCTTTCTGGTCCCCGTTCTGCTGCACGTTCGTTCGTTTGATTGGTGCTGTTCTTGCTACCGCCACCGCTCACCGTGTTTCGCGCTTTCGTCTTTTTGTCTCACGTGCAAGGGCGTGTAGGGCTGTGTGTGTGTGTGTGTGAGAGAGAGAAAGGGAGAGAGTCTGGGCGAAGGAGACAGGGAGAGGAGGGGGAACTGCAGAGCGCGATGCTCCGACGCAGCGCCTGCCGCCTCGATGGGTCCAACATTATCGGCGGCCCGGTGCAGAACCTGCAGGGCAGCATGCGCAGCGTCATCAAACCGTGCATTGCGGAGCACGTGCTGCGCGAGACGGCCGCTGTGCGGCAG